ACCCAAACCATTCTATGATTCTATAATTCCTTCTTACTTTTAACAATTCTTACACCTTCTTTGGTTCTTGCAGGCTTTTTAGACAAAATAATTAAAAAAAAATTCAAAGAAAATATCTAACATTGAGAAGAAAAGAAGAAGAGTAAACTTAGTCTGAAATGTACAACCAAAATTTATTTATTTACTGGTACAGTTCTGGTTTATCACAGTAAATTTAACCTTAACTCGTGTATATAATACTCAAGAATGAAAAAAATAATTCACCCAAATTTCACTGAATATGAGCTATATTTCTATGCATGTGGCAATCAGGAAACAGCCTTTTCTCAACACTTTTGCAAGCCAATGTGGTCTGAATGATTGCTATGGAAAGGAAGGGAGGAAACTGGTAATGTTGAACCCTGCGCAATGAAGTCACACTATCACTGCAAGTGACTCTGAATGTGTTTCCCCGACACCTTTTGCATAAAAAAATAAGGTAATGTCTTCAATAATACGGGTTTTTCAAATCTGTCCCAAACGCACTCCCAAACCTCTTACTCCTCCTGTAGTATACCTATATGACCGCCATCTATCCCATTACCCAGCCATTTACTACTTCTGAGATGTGTTGGCGTTTCATTCCCTTAAGATAAAACAGTAAAAATCTCTAAATAAAAAAAAAACCCCTAAAGGGGATAAGTCACCATATGCTACAGAAAAGGTGAAGAAAAAGTGACTACATACAAGGAAAGCTTACAGCAGGGTACATCCAAGTTCGGAAATCTCCTGAATGGGCACAACAATCTGACATCTATGAAACTGTTAATAAGAAAATGTGAAAAAGTATTTTACCATCCTCAAAAGGTCTTCCTCTTATGACTCCATTCTAGTATTTCTTAGTAGAAAAAGTACTCGCTAACATCTCAATTGACATTAAAATATTATGGTTTGAAAATGTCAATTACACTCTGTTCCAGGCAGAGATTTTCCCTTGTGTTCATGAGTCTGAAAGCTTTTCTTATTGCTGATGCTGCAAACATAATGAATCACTCTTTATATTTTATCTTTTAATACCACCAATTTCATGACTAGGCAAGGCATTTCAACCCAAGTATTGCTTCCTACATGCAGCTCTCAAATATTTCTTTTTAGTTCTGAAATGAAAACTGATGGCTGATACACTGAAATTAGACATATTTCATGAAATTCAATATATGAATGTATCATCACATACTTTACTTTTATGGGATAGCAGTATTCATCCTGTGGTTAACTCACTTTGACATGTGGTAACAAGTACAAAAACCAACAGGCTGGTAAATCTCGTGGAATCCTTTGGTCAGTAGCTGGCTAAATTCTGACGTCATTTGTGCAAGTGTTTTAGTTGCACAAAAATTTAGATGTTTTTAATTGAGCGGATATTTTTTAGAATTATCCACAATTTTAAACTCTTAATTCCTGATGTTCTCATTTAATGTTATTTAAATTCTGAGTCTTTTTGGAAGGATGTATCTAATACATCATTCTTGATTAATTAGCCATGACTCATCACTACACTCTTAAGTTTTCACACAATTCTTCCACATTCAGATGCCACCCCTTCTAAATTAAATGATCCCCAACACTTGCAGAAAGATAGGAGAGGAATAAAATAGCTTATTAGCAGAAGATTTCTGGAAACAAACCCTCTATTGTGCATTCCAACAAAGAGAATATATCATACGAGGAACATTGGGTAATGGAGGTTGGAAGGAAGCTCAGGAGGTCTCTATAGTCTGACAGGAGTCAGTTATGAACAGACCACATTGCTTAGGGCTTTATCTAGTTTGGTGTGAAAATGTCCAAGGGCAGACACAGCATAGCCTTTCTGCACAACCTGTTTCACTGCCTGACTGTCTTCATGGGGAAAAGGTTTCTCCTTATATCCAGCCTGAATCTCTCTTTTCAGCTTACATCCATTGTCTCTTGTCTTCCAGCCATGCATCACTGTGCAGAGCCTGGCTCCATCTGCTCAGTAACCATCCCATAGATACTGGGGGTTGCTGTTAGGTCACTCTGAAGCCATCTCTTCCACAGGCTGAACAAGCTCTGTTCCTTCAGTGTCTCCTCACAGGGTCTTTGCTTCTGCCCCTGACCATCTTGGTGGCCCTCTGAGACACAGCATTCATATGCCCAGAGGTATAGCTACCCACTTTATCCTTTGTTTGAAGACAGGTGAAACTATTAGTTTTTCTGCTGCTGTTGGAGTCCTCGCCCGGTCTCCACAACCTTTCAAAGGTAAGAAAGCAACCATACAAGGACATTGGTCTGCTCTCTCTGCACCCATCTGATCTGTGGGCTGTATGGGCTGAGTTCTCTGGAGCAATCCCTGTCTAAAATCATCCACTGCTGGTGATTCTCCTCCTGCTTGAAGCATGCCTCAAAGCAAAGGCCTGAGACACATGGTTGGTGAACACAGAGTACCTCCGCTGTGTATGTGTATATATGTTTAAGTATTTAAATATATGTAATAGATATAATATGTAATATTACTTATAACATGTACCTAAACATCCACACTAGATGATCTTATATAGTCTTAAAATTAGTTTTCTTCAATGGAGTCAGTCTGATAAGAGGTTCTTATTCTAATGTAACATGGTTATTTGTATTTCATTGTCATCATCTCATACTCTCTATTCTAGGATCATCAAACCATTTTAAGAGCATGGGCAGTTAAAGACTTTGCTCCAAATTGTCCTTTGTATGTTCAAATACTGAAACCTGAGAATAAATTCCACATCAAATTTGCCGGTAAGTCTAATATTTCAGCCTTTTGAAACACTTGTTAGTATTTGGCAGTTCATTTCATAAACACACGAGCAAAGTGAGATTCCCTCGGCATATTTACTGGTTAGAAGCCGATTGAGAGTGCAGTGTTGTAAAATAACATGGGCTCTGTATATCCTATCAATAGTAAAATGTCATGGTTTACATTAAAGTCTTATTTATAAGCACTTTTAGGGATTATTACTCTCTTATGTTACATGATATAGAGAGTAGAATTATTTCACATATAATTCATTGTTACTTCCTCATTATAGATCCAGGTAGGTTTCCAGCTTGCTATATCCATGTCTTTAAATCATTTCTGCTTACTAAAACATACTGTTACTAAGGGGTATATGAGAAGATTGGCTCAGAAAAGGCCAAATTTTTCCCAACAAACAACTGAGGAAGAAAAAATGTTCTCATTGGACTGTTTTTTTCTCTAAGTGGTATGAAAAACATTATTTTAATTACTTTCAAATATTTTGGAAAGAAACAGAGAATTTAATTCTATATCCAGTAAAACGCATGTCTTAGAAACTATGACAGACAATGCAAAATGATGTTAAGAAATCCAAACAAATCCTCTCTTATAAGAAGAGATTACCAGCTTTAATTTGACAAACTGTTTCTCTATGTACGTAGGTGTCTCTTTATCTGTATACAAACACACACATACATACATCTGTATGTATATACAGACATTTATATGCTCATGTGTGAATACACACAAATAATACTTTTATAATGAACTCATTTTGCCTATCTTTGGAAAAATACCCCTATGAAGTAGAAGCAGAACTTTCCTTTTCAACTGTAATTCTGAAAATTCAATTTTCTTGAAGGATATTCTAAGGAAGAAAAGATTGCTGATTCATGCAAAATTCAAAAAATTCTATGGAAAAATATTAGTCTCCTCCATCATCCCAGAACGTGATGAAAAAGTAAATTCCAGTGCAGAACAATTCCAGAGCAACAGTGAAAGCTGTAATTTTAAAAGCTACTGCATTTACCACTAGGTTGGAAAGAAAGAAAAAAGCATCAATAGCAGTTCTGAGGTTATAAAAGTATAATCTCAAACTATGAGATGGCACGGCAGGGAATAAGGCTCATGCTGTGACAAGAATGATAGTGCTTTTTCATCTCCCCCTCAAAACCACACAGTACAAATATAGTCTCTTCTCCCTAGCCATGGCCACTTTTCTTTATCTGTAACCGTTAATTTGTTGTTACTAATTGTATTTTTAAGAGAGTTTCATTATTCTTAATGGTTTTGTCTCTGTAGGAGGTTGTATATAACTAGACTTGAAAAACAGAGGTAAATTTTCATATCTGTTCTAAGTCTCAGATTGAGAATTTGGGCTTTTTTTGGTTTTTTTAAAGCAAACAACAAAAAAGCCCCCAAACTTCTTTTTGTAATATTTCCTTCAACTGAGCTTAACCAATGTGGTATCTTACCACCCTCATTTATGTTCTGTAGTTCTTCAAGGGCTTGAGGAGACCTTATATATTCTGTGCCTCATTAGCCCCCTATAATATTAATTATAGTAGTACTGTATTGTAAGTCTAAATATTTATATAACACTTTTACATCCCAAAAGAATTTCACATGGGTCATAGGGATCACTGCATCCATTTCCACACACTCACTCTGCACAACAGTAAAAGCAGAAAATTACAAGCCTTCCTTCAAGATTAAATTAGTCTCACTCATATAAAGCACAGGAAATTTTTAATGCAGTTTTAAATTTGGCAAGTTTATGAACATGGTATAAACATCACCACTGGATGCCTACCTACTTACTGCAAATAGCTATACCACTGATAGATTCATGAGAACAACATTTGTTTGTATACATTTTCCCAAGAGGACTCTACTTCGGTTATTAATCTCATACAACTCTTCTTCATTCTGAAATACGTACCCAGTGGGGGCTGCAGACTATAGCCCTGTCCAGAGTGCTTACGAATAAAATTTGTCATAACCATACGGAATATTTTTCTAAGTGCTTTTCCTATTATGATTCAGGACTGCTTTATTACTGCCTTAATGCAAAAACTTCTTTTAAATTTGATATTCCTTTAAAAAATTACTCCTTTCTTCTGGAGGTTTTCTAAAACAATATTTTGCATTATTATGAACCTGAAATATTCAGTAATAGGATTTCTTTTTTTTTTTCCTCTTTACACACAAATTTAGACTATAACTGTCAAAAAGAAAGTTTCTGAATTTAGAAAACATACAATCAAAGAGTTCAACAAAGCCCTCCTAACAAAAGTTCAACTTTTAACAACGTTGAAAATTTATAAAACACTAGAAGCTCAGTTTCTCAACAGCTTCTATTAGGTTGACCAGTAGTCCTAGATTGCATGAGACAGTCCTGAAATTTAGACCCTGACTGCATTTTCTCATAGAATAGCATCCTGGAGATTTTCTGCCTTAGGCTTCAGAAATAATATATAGGACAAGTAATTGTTATAATTTATTCCCATCTGGTAGACAAGTTTTTTGCATTCTTCCTCTCTTTAATGAGAGGATGAGAACTTATTCTTGTCATTGCAGCAAGAGAATGGAGACACTTTGCACAGGGTAATATGGCATGTCAGAAAGGCAGGTTTCCTGTCTTTTCATCTGATGCCAGACGCACACCCTTGCATCCTGTGTTTTCTCTGTTATTTTTTACAGTGGAGTTTACTTTGTTTAGAATGGTAACTTATATTAATACAGTAGAAATATTTCTCTGTGCATGAGTATGATTCTTCAGTGGAATCTGAAAAGTACAGGGCAAGTTCGAGGTGTGAATACTCTCTAAATATACAGTCACTTTAACATGACAGTTATCAGATGGGCAAGGAAACACTGTATCACCATTGTTAACAGTCTTATGTCTTAAGCTGAAATGCTTTGACTACTCCTGAGTAATTTCCAATACACAAATGCTTTGACATGCCCAGTTTTTCTTTCAGTAATACTGTGTTTTCCTTCACTGGCAGTTACATATGGTTTTCTTAATCTTCCTGCTTTTCCCTCAAACACATGGGACTACAAAAGGCCATGTACCCTAAATGCATGCATCTGGCCTTGCATTTCAGCACAAACATGAAATAAAGTGAAGACTGACCACAGCAGAGCAATATATTTATGCAATTCAGAGACTGAAGTTGTATACTTACTGAGTTGAACTCACAACTTTCATATATTTGATAGAAAATAATCGCTTTTACCTTGAATATTCAGAAATTATGTATAATCACAATTCCAGGAACTGGGGACACATTTTGATATTCTCTATTTACTCAAAATGCACCAATGAATTAGTAAAGATTGGTGAAATCTGATATTAAACCTTCAGTAGTTTATTCGAAATGAACATAGTCCAGATTTACCAAAATGGATATTGAATGCATCTGATGATTAATCTATCCAATTACAGGTAAAAATAGTCTAGAGATAATGGATGGACTTTTTTCTCTATCTGGTCTGGTAGTGATCATGTTAACTTATCAAATTGGCCAAAATAAGGCTTCTCAGAATAATTGTATCAGGTCTAGGACATTCTTACCACGTGGTTGATGCTGCAGGCATAAATCACTATTCTGAGTATGTTTTATCTTCAAGAACATTACAGAAGTCATAACTCACCGCACTGCATTACTACATCTATTTGAGACAGACTTAGCAATAAATTTTCTGTCAAAATATATTTTCAACAGCAAGTACAGCTTCTGGAAATTCTAAATGGAATATTTCTGTAGTATAAATGCAATCAAAATAATTCTGTTTGGTAAACTGATTTGACATATTTAATATTCAGTTCAAGATAAACTGCAGTTTTGTTTGCTGCTTCATTGCCATACTGAGCAATTTGCTGATTCTGGACCTGACTGACGTCCCAGACCTGAGGAGTGGGAAAGCTGTCACCCAGCTTCCTCCCTACTCACTTGAGAAGAGAAAGCATTGCATAAATTTCTGTATAACTCTCACCACAGCTCCACATAAGAGTCCTGACCATAAATGTAAAACACAGTAACATTATAGGCAAGCTGTAATCTGCCAAATATTTGGAGAAATGAGCAAGTTACTTTTGACCTGATCCGTGACTAATATAAGAACTTAACTCCTGCCAAGAGAAGAAACCCATAGTACCTCTCTTCATGTTTCAAATGCCTACAATATTTCTAATCATGGTAATTAGATCACTGAAGAATCTTTCAGCTGGTGTTCTCAAAGTACCTCTGAGAATTCAAAAGCTTCACAACACTTCTGAAGTAGGTGGGGTATTTTCATATACCCATTTGACGGATGCATAAAAAGTCATGAAGGGCATAAATAGCTCGCGCAAGGTCAAAGTCTACAACAGGAATGGAAACAGTCCTGCGAATCCCAGCTCCATGGCTCCTGATGAAAAACACTTGACAACACAATGCAAATCTCTTACACATATGAGATTAAGATAACTGTTGTAGGACAGCAACCTCTGTTTGTCATGTGCTATATTCTCTGTTAACAAGACATTTTACATAAAATCCATCCAAAAAGTCTACCATATATGTTAGAGACTATAGAATATATGGAGGATTTAAGTTTGAGATATACTTTTTTTGCATTGAGCCATCCGTGATTTATTCATTTTCATTTATATATATTGAGGTCAGCATGTACAATTTGGTTCAAGTACAAGATCTGAAATAATAGATGATGAAATAATTTTCCTGTAGATTTTTTTCTTGCTCCTATTTTCAAAAGTATTAGCTATAATATAACAACATTCTAAACAAAAAATAAGGGGAGGTTATTTGGAAAAATCCTATACAAATTCAAAAATATGGAGAATTCTCATTCCTTCAATATCAGGAAGACAATATTCACTTCCATAAATCTTTGCCATCTGACTAATGGTAGTGGAATGCAGATATTCCATCCAAGCAGTAGACTATACCTTAGTCTCAAAATCTCTAGTTTAAAATTCAAATCGATTTATTAATTGCACATGGTCAGCTAAAAGAACACATTTCTATCTGAAATATTTGCTGCAGGAAATATTTAATTGCTATAACTGAAATATATTTAGGGGAGAAAAAATCTCATTTTGTTCTATATTTGACAGTGTCTTTATATAACTAAATTCATTCCTTCCCTATAACATTTAAATAGGCCATGATCTTCAGAAAATGAGAGAATGAATTTCTCCTTTCAGTAGTCAATGATTCTGTTACTGAAAATCCTCTAGAATTTTTTTTTAAAAAAAGGAACAGAGAAGGCATACAAAGTATGCCCTTACTTTTGTTTTCAGTAAGTGGCATGCTTATAGCTATACTATAAATTCTGTCTAGAAAGTAGCTTAGAGAGGTAAGGTGGTTCTAAGGATTTCAATGGTATATTAGTGCGACTAGAAGTAGAGGTACATACCTCAGATCTAGGTGGAGAAGATTATTTTTTTACTCAGCAATTTTCATATGGCTTATGTTTTGATCATCAGCTGTACTATTTGTATTATTCTTTCTCATCAGAAGTAAATTCTACTCCCATTTAAAGTAACGTAGACTGAATCAAACACTAAATTTAGAAGAAAATAATTACTTAGCATGCGATAAATGCCTTCATGACCTTAAAAAACCTTTATGACTAGGTTTCTACATGGGCAAGAAGTTTAATTAAGTTGTAAGTTTTGTGCTTATCCCTTCTTATATCTATTTTAATACTGTCACAGGTATATGTGAATGACATTAAAAAGTAATTTCTGTTTCCTTTTCATGCCATCACCAGCACTAGAAAGCATTTAACTGCGATCTGAATTTTAAGCACTAGCCATCCAAGTTGAATAATAATTTATACAATACTGAAAGCACATACAGAAGATTTGGCAGTTTTAAGTACAAGCCAATATAGAGAACTAGATATAATGCCTCTGTTCCTTTCTCTTCTCAATTCTCCTCCCCTAAATTCCATTAAAAAACAGAAAAAAACCCAGGTATGTCTATAGTACTGTTCCATCACAGCAAGTACTAATGCACAGACCTACTTTCTTGAAAGGACTCTCAAAAACAAAGCACAATTTTGTGAATACAAAAGCCAGACAATGACTGGGGTAAAAGAGAACACAAATTTGTAAAAAGCTGGAAAAGAAAAAACAACCACCCCCCTTGCCTAGATTGCAAGGAGGCAGCAGCTGTTAGCAGCTCCTGGGGAGATATTAGTCAAATCTCCACCACACACTGAAGTGCTGTTCAAAATCTCAGAGCCACTGCCAAATAACCAGTCTGCAAGCCAGTACAGCCTAATTGATCTAATTGATCAGCACCTGGGCATTGCAGTATCCTAGAATTTTGTGTTCAGGAAATAGCATACCTATCTCAGTACAATGCTTGATGTCTCTATACCAGTTTCTGCAAAACTGCAGAAGGTGCAAAAGATACAAACTAGACTATGCTACGTGGCTTACTCATACAACTAGTGCAGCAAGATTCACAGAGCCATTGCATCCTCTCCATGTGTAGCTGCAGGACAGAAAGTATGAATTGGATGCAAAATTAACTCTACTCATGCAATCTGAGAGAGACCATAGATGGGGCAAATCACACACCTGGCTGCTCTCCAGGTTCAAGTGGAAGATGAAGATCTGGAGGCATATTTTGATTGTCCCTATCTTCACCATATTCCTAGACAAGGACAAGAAGTGATAATTCTGTTCAATGGAAAGTATTTTTGTAAAACAATCTATATCTTCTTTTTTGGTACAGATCACGTTGTGTGTGAAGAGGAATTCAAATATGCGATGCTAGCTCTAAATTGTATATGCCCAGCTACCTCTACATTAATCACACTGCTGGTTCATACATCTAGGGGACAGTAAGTATATACTGCCATAAAAAACCCGCACAACCTTGTAAGAGTTATAGCTGATATTCTTTGGAAAATAGCTTACCATGAACTCCCAGACAACTACAGTTTTTAAAAAGAAATTGGAACTTTCTGCACAATAAGAGCATCGACATGTTTTACTCAAGTTACTATAATTTCAAAGAGAAACATACACCCCCTCCAATATTTAACAATTTGTTGCATGCTGTTGGGCCCTACCACAATAAAAGATACGAAAACTTGTATTTCCAAATTAGTATATTGAATCGTGGATCTATCACACAGTTCTACTTAAGAACACCAACAAGACCCAAGAATATCTATTTTAATATATTTATTTGAAGGTCTATTTTTGTATACAAATAAAAATTCCTATTTATTGAGCTCAAAAAATGTTTTTCTGATAACATATTATTTGCTATTCAGTGCCTGTATGTTAAGTAGTAAGCAAATATGCATGTGAAGAGATAGTTTTTAACATAATAACCATACTGCTGGAAAGGGTACAGAACTACAGTGTCTCTGCAGGCTGCACACCTGTAGAACCTCTCTGTATGTACCAAAATAATTGTGCCACATCTAGTATATCTCTGTTATGCTATATTCTTGGAATAATGAAGTATTCTTATTAAAATGTTGTGGGCAGAGAGAGGCATTAAAGAGTAAGTCTCCAAATATATCTGTAGAAAAGGAATATATTCATATAGACTGCACAAGAATGCATTTGAGAGTCTAGCAAAAATGCATACTTTTTTTGAAGTAACCATGGACCCAGTAATATCTTGATATTTACAAGCAGAGTTATTTAACCTTCTGTATGACACTTCTAGTATTCCTCTGTACCCAGGATGGGGAAAACTGAAATTACTGCTAGAACTTTTACTACCAAGATCAACAAATGTCAAGATTTTAATGGCACTGTCTGTACTAGAATCTGTTAATAAGATGACAACAAAATACTGTTTCCATCCCTCCTGAGGATCATGGTGAAATACATTCTTCATCTGCCTAGCTTTCATTATCTGACATGCACAGAATACAAAGCCTTCTTTAGTTATTTCATATTATATGTACATGAAGGAAGACCAGTATTTTGAACAGCTAGCAAAAAATTTTCCATCAGCACAAAACCAGACATATGAAAGGGACCCTGTTTTCTGCTGTACTTAAGAACTTTAGCATTTCATTTTTAACATAGGCATACTGATCATTTATACAGATTTTCAATTATGGTACAAAGTAATATAGTAGAATGCAAAAGTGCTTATTAATTCTTTTGCAATGACAATTAATTGATGTAATCAGGAATGTTAAAGTAACTGATTTCTACTCTGGTCATTGTATACTAGGAGCAAAAATAATATTTTTTTTGCACAAATAGTTGTCAGCATTACTTTGAATTCTTCCTACAGGAACATACAAGCTTGCTGTATAAATACAGAAAGAATGGAAAAGTGAAAATGCCTAGTTTTCATTCTTCTACTTTAGTCAGCACTCATCAGAGCATTTAATCTTAGATGGGCTCCAAAATACTGAAAAATGGCAAACTTTGGCCGTCTTAGAGCAAGTGTATTAATGCTGAAATAATTGGTTGAATGACTGTTCTTTAAAACCACACTATATCGGTGAAAGTTTAACTCACACACATTAGAGGGAAAAAATGTCAAAAATATTTCAAATTTGAGTAGTCTTGACTTCTCAGTGCTGAAAATAAACTAAAAAATTCAAGTATTTCTCTCCCAAAATATCACTTTCTAAGCTTTCAATTTTAGTATTTTTGCTACTTCATTTCATTTTACTAAAAATGTACATAATTCTCATGCATAAAAAGGTGCACAATTCCCAAACTGGTGGAGTTCTCATTACCCTTTTATTCCTTACAACTTTTTAAAAACCGTTGGAAATGCTGGAATATGTTCTCAAAAGTCTAATTTAACTGAGATTTTAATTTTTCATTAAGTTTTGTATAAGTGCACAAATCTGTTCAATATATGATAAATGTCACCAAGTCAAGCATTCGAAATTAGGAAATGAGGACAAAGCTATGTTTTTACTACTGCTCTGATCCTATTAAAAACCTTACTGTGCTGTTGAAAACATTAAGTAATGATGAACCTCAACTTACTTTTTGCTTGTAACTGAGTGTTACGTAGGCCATGTTTAATCTGGAAGTTTTGTGTCCTTGAAGATTTAGTTAAGGTGGTATTTAACAACTAGAGATTTAACCATTGATTTTTAACAAGTATGCACTTCTTGAATATAATATTCAAAATTTAAAAGACAGTATTACACATAATTGAAAAAATTGTATAAAATATTTAAAATATGTGAAAAAAATTTCTCTTTCCTGAATTACCACTTCAGTGTCCCAATTTTATCAATCTTATATTTATTTTGCTTTTTTATTAATCTTTTTAATGTGCAAGACCATAATTGATTTAAACACTTGCTAACTAAAATAAACTCATAGCTAGATATGGGTTTAAATCTGCTCTTTAGAAGTATTATACTTAAGAAATTTATTTTCAAATTTTCTTATTGAGTATACACTAATGTTTTAGAGCAAAAATTCCTTTTAAACTTACATTATTCATAAGCATCTCCAGAGATCTGCACTGACTCTGGACTGTTTGAACAGTGTTGGTAAAACAAATGATTCTGCACTTCATTGCCTTCAGGGGAACTCTGTTTTCAAAATAGGTGTAGGTTTTGAGCTTCATCTACAGGTTGTCATTGTGTTGCAGACATAAAGCTGCTTTAGATTTGACTAATTTATAAAACAGAATAATTGTTTTGGCTTTTCTAAATATTTTCCAATGTTGAACAATAAGTAAATTTAACTGCTAATTGTTAAAATAGGTTAAACTGCCTTTATGCATATGAAAGGTGAAGTCAGATGAACATTTGAGTTTGGCTAAGTATAAGTAAAAAGATTAAGTAAAAATAGATTATTTAAACTACAACTAAAAGTTTAAACTATACATGCATTTATATTTTGTTAGATCTAAATAACAAATAGTATTTGTTAGATAGGGTGCCAGTGTTAACAGCGAACTGCTTTCCTTTACATTGGTTCCTGTTTCATTATCCTTTCATTATCCTGGTTACTACTAGCACTTGCATTAAACTTTATGTAGGACTTGAGTTTTAAATCCCTGTCAGTATTGATTTATATAAAAAAAACAGACTTGGATTACAGGGAGACTGCAATGAATCAACTGCTTCCAACTGTGGGTAATTTTTTAAAAGTCTATTCAAAGTCATTGGGAGGACTTACTTAATAATTAGGTCAGGTTTCCATTCAGAGAAGCCCCATATCTGTGGCAGTTTAGTAACTGCAATACAATGACTGGGAATGCTCATTCAAGTTGTTATCTCAGATAACTAGGTTCAAACGACTTTCCATTCCACAAGGAATGGGTCTTCCTTTTACATAGTATTTTAGGTGCGTATAACCAGAGGGGATTATCAAAGAACTGGCGAGAACATTTCTTGCTTTTTATCATTTCCCTAGTGAAAAGTCATTCATTAAGGGAAAATATGACCACTTTCAAATTCTAGCTTCTTAACATTTGTTATTTAATGAAGTTATGATCTGAGGTGATTTACATTTTAATGGAATTAAACAGTTCTTTGACAGTTCATAGATAAAGCATTGTCCCAACTGTTTGTTGTACTCTTAGAAATGAAGTGCCACCTATTCCACAGGAAATCTGTTTCCTGTATTTATTAAGAAATAGCGTGACACCGTCAATAATACAAGCTCATTTCTAATAATCATGAAGATAAGTACACTGGGAAATTACTAGAAATCGAAGGCACTACTTAGCAGCAGAACATAGGAAAAATTATTATTCTCTATTGTCCTAATTAAAATGATAATACAATAAACAAAAAGAAACACATGTACATAAATTAAAACCACCTTATTTTCTGGTATTAATATGTGAGGAAACCAGGGAAAATGTTCATTTTCAAAGCAACTGTGGCCAGATCAACTTGCTATTAAAATTAAGGGGAAGTTTGCTGCTCTTTGTGTGAACTGGCTTTGGTCTTTAATGCTACTTTGCAGATTAAAAATCTAGATGTAAAAATCCCACGGTCTTCTCAGCTGTTTATGTAATTCAAAACTTCAATCTGTAAGACAGTGAAATTCTAACTTGAATCTTATTTATAATCTTATTACTGATCTTAATTATAATCTTAACATTTATCTTTAAATGGTATCTAATCTAGTAATAAAATTTTATTAGAGTTCGTATTATGATACAAATTATTGGAAAAAAATAGCCTTTCTGACTTGACCTTAATGTGATCTTTACAGAACAGCCCCATGGGAAGCTTTTAGACAACTAACTGGAACCAAGCAGACTTTAAACAGGTGAACATTTTATTTAGGGGGGAAAAGTGAAATGTGGAAAAAATTTTCTTCTATAATTACATTTCTAGTTCTGCTATTCTACACCTAGTGCACCGTTTGTTAATGCTGTTGCCATAAAAATGGTTTACTTATTTCCATCTTGAAACAAAATGTTTCTACACTGAGGGCAGAGAAGAATGGTAAATTTAAGAAAAACAGAAAGTGTGTTAAGATACTGAAAATGTATAAAAGAGCACAAAGCAGCATATCCCAATACCTTGAGATCTTAGCTCCAAGCGGCAAAACACAAAGCATATTCGTCAATTCTATGTCTTATCTGCACATATATATGTATCTATTATATCCAGTAAAACTCACACAGACAGAACCTTGTTTCCATATGAAACTTCATAAAGAAGTTCACAGAAGCACCAAGTCTGTGAGTTTTGGTGTTAGCTGAGGCTTGGAACCTTTCCACTAACAGTCCATTTGGATAAAGAATATTAGCTGCATATAGTAAAGGAGGATATGCTTCATATGGTTATAGTAGTAATTTATTTTCTTGCACTAGGGAAAAGAATGTATATACTTGTCATCATATACAAGGCACAGTAACTAAAAATGTCCATAGGGTAAATGCTGAAGATAACTGATAAGCAAATGCAGAAAAAAAAAAAAAAAATTCTCTTACAGATATAGTGACTGAAGCCAACTGGGTCTTTCCTACATAAGTTGGTTTTAATGATTCTTTACCTGCTTCAAACAGGAACCAGACAATCTGCCATGCAGTATCTGAAGAGATTGTCTTTATGACTAGAATGAGCATGCTCTTGGTTTCACCTGTCATTTTTAAATTGCAATGAATCTTCTTACTGTGGTGTGAATTTAAAGTAATTCAGCCATATCTCTCCTGATATTAAAGTACGTAATCTTACATGCCTATTACTTAGCAGAAAACGCTCTCTAATTCATTAAAATAATCTCTGCACTTACAGTATTACCAAGCTTTGATCTTAAATATTTCTTTCAGATTAGCCTATGGGACCTTTTTAATAGACATTTGTAGTTTCTATTGCCGTGAAATACTGTTCTGATTAATAAGAATTTTACATTGTTTTAAATTATTCTCCTTATCTGTACATGTTTCAGGGAGAGTCAGCAATCACCGGAACAATGGCAGAAAATGTATGGCAGATGCTCTGGTAATGAAGTGTATCATATTAACCTGGAAGAAAGTACTTTTTTTGCTGAGTATGAGGGGAAAAGCTTCACATATGCTTCTTTCCATGCACACAAAAAGTATGTTTATTTTCTTATCAACAATTAAAAGTTCAAAGAAATAATTTGTCTTGGCTGCATTCAAAGATGCAGTATTACACATTACTCTGTTTCTGGGTTTAAATATCTGGCCACTGATATATTTCATGGATATTTTTCTGTAAGTTACTGGTCAGGCAAAAGCTCATGTTGGTTCTGTACAGGCCAGCTTAGGCTAAGAGAATAGACTATAAAGGATATATAGGATAAGCCTGACAACCAGAAAAAAAATTGTACCTTAGAGAGGTTATATGAGAACACCAGTCCCTTTCCATGTCCAAAAAAATCTAGAAAAGGGTGGGTGGGAGGGTGTTAGTGTATTTTACTTATTTATATAGGAGTCTGTTGGAAATCTGGCTTCCTTTGTGGCGTGTTCACATTATGCAAAATGTTCAATTTAAAGGTGGTTTATGCTACATTCTGGTGACTGTTCAAAATAAACCCATATTTTTTCTGCTAGATGCTAACATATCTTCTTTAGGTTCCAGATCATGCATCACTTAGTGCTGCTCTGTGAGATGAATGTACAAACTGAACACAAATCATGTATATTTGTATATATTTGACAAAATGAACATATATCAAACCCTGAACACTGAGTTTATTCTCATACTTAAGTGAGAGAAAGATTTTTTTTTTTTTTGCTTTAATTCCTTATTTTCTATCACTAATCAAATACATTTCTAGGAGTGAATCTCAAAAATGAATTCTGAAAATGGTTTCCATTACATAATAATAATAGAACAATTTAACATGATGAATAATTTTTCATATTATATATCCATTCTTCTACTAATATTTTCCCAGAAGAGACTATTCATCTGATAGAAAAAATGAACTGGAACAGCAATAGAAGAATATTATGGGGATTAAGAAAAATTCTGGATTCAAATGCATAGGGATTCATGAGCTCATAAAAACTGCTTGATCAGAAGTGCCCTGTTTAAGAGATAACATTTTTCAAACATATTTTTAATCCAAAAATCTGCAAAAGTTCATAATCTGCAAATATATATACTGAAGGTTCATTTTTGACAATGGAAATTCTGGTATATACAGGACTATGCAAAATGAACCATGCCTTTCCTTTTCTAATTAAGGTTTGGAGTCTGTCTGATTGGTGTTAGAAAGGAAGATAACAAAAACATTTTGCTGAATCCAGGTCCTCGATATATCATGAGTTCTACAGATATATGCTTTTATATAAATATCACCAAAGAAGAGAATTCTGCTTTTAAGAAGCACGAAAAGCATAGAAAAAAACATGAATCAAAATTATCTTATCATGGAGCTTCTAGATTACCTGTACACAGTATAATAGCCAGCATGGTAGCCCACACAGCCAAGATGTTGTAAAACAAATAGTGGGAAAGAAAAAAAAAAAAAAAAAAAAAAAAAAAAAAGCCTCACAACATATTCAATGAATAGTGCATTTTAAAGCTTTTAACAGTGTATTTCTAAAATTTTAAGAAATTATAACTGTATTTGGAAAGAAAAAATGTTAAACACTTGCCCTTGTATTTAAAAAAAACCCACAAACAACAAAAAACAAACAGAATTTGGTTATGTTTTTCCTTTACTTGACAATATGGAATTAAACTGCTTAAGACTGTTGTATAAAAAAGTAATAATAAAATGTATGCATAGCAAAACAAGTGAGAAAAATCACGTGGCTAATTTCTTTGTCATTCATAACTAGTCATTTGTAATAAGTTTTCATAAGCTTCTTAATTAAAAACTGCCCTTGCTTAATAAAAACCTACAGGTTGTTGATGCATATAAATATGGGTTAATTATATAAGGTATGATTTAAAAATGGTAGTTAACAAGAAAATATATATTAATGGTCAGAAAAAAGTGCTATTTGCAGGAAAAGGCTTCCTCAGGTAGTTTAAATATTTGTTATATTTTAATCTAATAAACACTACCGATACAGTATTCCTTTCAGTCTTTAGCTGTGTAGTCAGTTAATCCCCACTAACCAGGGGAATCTCATCAAATGTTTTGTCAATCACAATGAGAAAATGCTTTCAATGCTACTCTTCAGGGACAGTGGCTATTGATTTACAAGACACAGGATGCCGAACATCCAGGGGACCTACGCTAGCTCTTCCCTCTGAGGGAGGTAAAGAGGGCAGGCGGCCCAGTATAGCTCCTGTTTTGGAGGTTGCAGACTCATCCTCGCTTCAGACGTGTGACCTGCTAAGTGACCAGTCAGAAGATGAAACTACCCCGTCAGATGATGAAGTCTCTGCAGGCTTAGAGTATGTATATTAAATATAAAATAAGCAACATAATTTGAAAATCTTGTATTATGTAGACAGCACGGATAATTTTTTGACATGCAGATCAATCCAAGCAGTTGTAGCAAGCACGACCCATAAAGGCCAATTATGGAATTATTCTCTTTTATGAAATGCTGTTGTCTGTTAGCAGGATGCTGTTATGCCTATTTTGAAATAAAAACCCCAAAATATTAAATCCTCCATTTGCTAGAAATTTTCTATACTCAGTTATAAAGATCTAGTTGTGTATTGCAATTTTTTAAATAGCATTTTTATGACCCTTTTTCTTACATTTTATAGTTATAAAGACAACTAATTTGTAAACAGATAAGTGCTTATGTCCTGAGAATGCAGTGATAATCAGATCATTCAACAGGCTTGTTAAACGCTGGGACTAGGTGTCTGACTTCAAAATGTAGGAATGACAAAAAAAGCAGTATCAGACAAAATTATTACATCTAATTTAAAATGCTTGTTAGCATGTTGCTGAAAGTAATGGTGCATTACTCAGATAAAAACAGAACATTCTATCCTATAACTGCCAGGCAGATAAGCAATTATGTTTATTGGGATTACTGACAGGGATGTTAAAACTGAAATACACAATTAAGCCAGTGGTTTACCTAGCACAGTTTCCCATCTCCAACAGCGATGAGCATAAGAAGCCCCAGGGAAGATCATAAAGCTCCAATGAAAAAAATATAATAGAACAAATCATCTTAAATCTACAGACTCAAATACCAGGATTTTAAAAGGCCTCTTATTGAAAACTAAGGCCAGTTAGAAATTTCATATCATTAGCAAGAGGATTTGCCATTTAAAATTTATTCCAACCATGTTGAAAGTATGTTATCAAAGCAAGAAAGTATTGACCTCACTTATTCTTGATAAGTGTTTGAAAGAGAAATGGAGAAGAGAGAGCAGAAGTACCACAATTATTTCTTTATTCTTTCCTTACTTTTTTTCCTTCCTTAGAAGTTTCCAGTACCTGTATTCACAACACTAAGACAGTACATTGTGATACATCTACATCAGCCCATTTCCAAATATGCCTATACAAAAAACCCCCAAAAACCAAAACAAAACCAAAAACCCCCCCCACCAAAACCCAAGTGAAATTCCTTTAGTCCACAAAAACATGACAGCTTTCACTAAATTGTATCAAATTGGTCAAAGCTACAAAATAAACATAGTTCATTTCCTGTACTTGACTCTGCTAGTCTACAGATAGCTGCAAAACATAGACATAGGTATAAACATCCCATAAAATAGTTGTATAGTCAACTGTGTTTCTGTAATTTGCTATACTGAAAAATGTTTGTTCTATTCTCACAGGTATGCCAAAGGCTATCCTCCTTACTCTCCATATATTGGAAGCTCTCCCACATTTTGCCATCTTCTGCATGAAAAAGTACCCTTCTGTTGTCTACGACTAGATAAGGTAAAGGGACTTTCTGTTACTGGATAAATCTGCAGTCTCATTTGTCTCTTGCATCTGAACACACTTAAATTCTGCTTTCTGCTTAGAGATGAGGTTTGTTCAGCACTTACTGAGCTTTAACATGTCTTCTCATCCTTTTTATTGCCAATCATTTGTTTATATCTAATCAGGTCTATATCAGGTCATCGGATACAATTTTCTATTTCTAATGGTAAAATCCTTTAAAATGTCACAGCTAAATCTCTTTATTCATATCCACTGAACTTGTTTCTTATTTTGATTTTAGGGATGCCAGCATAACTACTATGAAGATGCCAAAGCCTATGGATTCAAAAATAAATTGATTATAGTTGCAGCAGAAACTGCTGGAAATGGCTTATATAACTTTATTGTTCCACTCAGAGCTTATTACCGACCAAAGAAAGAACTAAATCCCATTGTATTACTCCTAGATAACCCGTAAGTAGATTTATTTATTTATTTATTGTGTTTTAAACTCATTTTACCATTACTTCAATAGATGATCATTCTTCACATGGCCAACTTAAAATCAAAAACATTATGGCACATTTATCTTCGAGAAAAGTTAGTGACAGAAGTAATACCCTACGTTCACTGTCATATACAAAATTGACTTTTTACTGCCTGTAAATGACCATAGTGAATTTAAATGTCCTTATTCTTCATGGGCAATGTTTCAGCTAAGTATTTCTTAAAAATACCCAAAATAATGTGAATAGTACTGCTAAAATTAGATATCTTCATAAACACTGTAAAAAGCAAGCTGTGTAACAGTTTCACAGTGATGTGACAGCACTTTAGACAACACAAACCTACTTAACACAAGGCACTTAGTGGCCTGGGCCAGTTAGGCACATTTTTAATAATTTTAGACTCTATGATAAAACAGTTCTTTAAGCCAGTAGGACACCCACCTACCCTTTGTCTACAATTATATAAAATCATAGAAGAAAACTAAAACCTGCAATATTCTTGTTACTACCATATCTGTCTGGAGATCGCTGGAATTCTTAGCCTTTCTTGCATTAGCTGTTTAAAATTTCAGACAAATTCTTCTCTGGCAAGACTGATTCATTTGTAATCTGACAATGAATGAGACTTACTTCCCCCCTCAAAACTTTGATACTGCTCAAGTACTTAAAATCACAATTTAGAAGACATTAAAACAGAGGTTAGCTGTATACAGAAAATCAGATCAAGCTATGACTCAAAGAAATGACAGCAGCAGAAATGTCTTATAGGTTCTGATTCCAGGGTGACACTTCCCTTTACATATATATGTTCTAGTTTAAGTGACTTATTATTCAAAGGCCTGCTGTGAAGCATCCCACTTTTGCTTCAGAGAGCTCTTTAGTGAAGCCATATACACCTGTGTTTGCAAAACAGAAGCTGTTTTATGTACATATTATGGCATAAAGTGAATTACACAAATTGGTAAAAGCTTGAATTAGGCTAAAGAACTTCTGATTTGCAACTTTCTTAAGATTAAAGATGTGATCATACAGTGCCCTCTAGTGCTTGTTCTCTTTTCCAGCATAGTGCCTGAGTTTACACACTTTAATGCTGTTGTGACATTTTATAGCTAAAAGTACTTTTTACTATCATAAAGTAAAAGCTATGGTTGCTAATTAAACTAATACCCTTAGTGTTGTATCTTTCTATACAGCATTTGCTGTTGCTGCTCTGAAAGGCCAACTTTCATGGGACTACAGAAGCTAGCTGAAAAGCCAGCATGCTTTTCATACATGCATGAGGTGGAATTCAGACTGCCATTCAAGTCAATTAGAATTTTGTAATTTACTTCATTGGACCTAGGAATTCGGCCACCTTCAATGAACATTTCTATGCCTTGTTGTTATATTCCTATTTCCTCTCTTTATCAAGGCAACTTATTACAGTATGCTTATTCTGGTATCTACACATGTGCTTTAAGATTTCTGGTGTTTCTTGATATGTAAGAAACAACACAGTAAAATATATGATTAAAGAAACAATGCAATAAAATACAGTATCTTAGTTTGCACATTCCATTTAAAAATACAGTTTCATCTAAGATTGTCTCATTGACTTGAATGGAGCTGTTGGCACAAAAACCAAATGACGACGTGGTTTCCTCTTCACATTAAAAATTCTCACTGCTTATTTTAAGTATGCATTGGAGTGTAACTTGATAGCGTGTCTTTGACATCAGTCATTCATTCTTGTATTTGGAATTGTACTGTGCCATAAATTTTCTGATTTAAGAGGTGCATTTATTAATATAAGCATGTTAATTCTGATCATTCTTTATGATCATAGCAAACTGTTGATTCACAGCTTTCTGCAAACCTATTTCCTGTTTAAAGTGATATTATACTGCAAAAGTCTTAAAAAGTTTTTGTTTTTTTTTAAAAGCTACCAGTTTATTGAAATATTTTAGAAGAGATGCTGCTGTTGTGATATTGTGTTTCATTTTGTAATCCCATCTGCTGCTTAGGCCAGATATGCATTTTCTGGATGCAATCTGTTGGTTTCCAATGGTTTACTACATGGTGGGCTCTATCGACAAGTAGGTGAAATAACTGTTAGAAAACTTAACATTGTAGTGCTCAGTGGTTTGTTGTGTGTATTGTCATTGCATGTTTGTGTGTTGTATTTGAAGATGATCTTTTTGCATGCATGGTTTGTGTCTGTGTGCTATAATTTGGGATTTCAAATTTCTGGCTTAGAAAGGGTATCATTAGTGAAGAGCATGACAGGGAACACAGGTTAATATCTTCAAAAACATTAACACTTATTTAGATGTATTACTATGTTTCTACAAATTGCGAGATTATAGCCCTGATTCTAGTGTCATTCTATGCTTAGTTATAATTTGTTTGGCTTTACTGACTAGCATTTTGTAAAGATAGCTACAGAATGTAGACAGTCTTGAATGTGTCCAACAGTCTTCATCATCTGCTACTTAAAATATCACCTACTCCTACATTTCTGTCTTCACCTCTGCTAATATGTATTTACATATCTAGGTTTAGCAACATAGATTTAATGTAAAAAACAGGCAGAAACAACAGTATTAATATGAGCAAGGGCTCATTAGCATTTTAGTAAACTCCCATGTGTAGAGTGTCAATTTAAAGAAGAAAACGGCTTGCTTCACTACATAACTAATATTGAGCTGGGGTTACAAGCTCATAATACTCATTTCCCCAGGTAGAAATCAAAAAACTTATTTCCTGCCCTAAATTAACAGAATCCAGTTTTACAATGAGAATTCTGGAGATTCAGTGTTTCTCCATCTAACCTGTTGTAACAAGGACTTTAAAACTACTTATAATAGTGATGCAGTTACAGATTTACCTTGGTGATACCACAGTCATTGGGGGATTTGCAAAGAATCTACGGAAATGTTTTCGACTTCCTACCTTTCTTCCTCTAAACCAAAAAAGTGTCTCGGGTTGTTAATATCTACTACTTTCTTAATTCCACAACAATTATAAAAAGAATTCATACCAGGACAATAATTGAATTGACTCAAAGTATCCAAAGTAAGTAATAACCCAAAGATATTAACCTGTTTTATTAACATGGAAAATTAAACTTCAGTTAAATTTACTGAGTTTATTTCAAAAAGGAAATCACCAAATCCCTCCCTAAAGGTGGTTTGTTGTTTTTAGTACTGTGTACATTAAAAAAGAAGTGTATTGTCTTTGAACTAAGTGATCATACAGAATTCTACAGTTTACAGTAATACTAGCATGAACTTCTGTATCTTTCTGACAATACAATCACTTTAATTCCTGGTGCAATAACCAATTGTATTTTGTAGGGAGTTTTTTGTTTATTTGTTTTTTGACATCTATTTTCATAAATAATAATACTTTTAAAGACATAGTTCATACTTATTCCCTGTGTTTTCCTAAACATGTTTTAAAATCACGTACAATTAATAGATATTGATCATCTTTAGCTAACAACTACAATGTAAAATATGCAAAGTTTCCTTTCTTATTTAATGTGTATAGAACACGTTCCCAAAGTGCCACCTCCTACCTTTAAGTATCAAACGTTTTTGTCACGTGGTCACCTGGCATGACATGTTACCATCTTAGAGAGAAAAACACCAAAGGAAAAACTCTCATATACCACTCCTTTTTGTTGAAAGTGGATGGCCTGCAGAAAAATAGCTTTACCAAAATTCATAGCTGGGATGAACTTCATCAAAATATGTCATCGAGTAGTAGATATCTGTTCTACAGTCTTCAGGTATAAATGATTTGAGATCTGTAACTGAACAGATTTCACAGTTGTGTAGAAATCTATTCAGTATTAAGAAACCTATAGCTAAAAGTAGTTGAGAACTAGAATTACAATACTTCTAAATTAGTATTTTTTAAATTCTCCACAGATTAGCAGAATGTAACTGCTAAAAGAAGAGTTGAGCTTGTCAAACATAAAAATGCAGATAATCTGGGTATTCAGAATATGCTGCTATTTTCAGGTATCAACTGCAAGACTGAAAAAGCAGAAATACCAATTACTCAGAGAAAGTTCAGAGTTCTGCTTGTGCACTGAATTTGTTAGAATAGATCATATAAAATATAGCGGTTCTTTTGTTATAGTCAACCATCGGTGATATTGCACAGTTTCAAAAATAATTATGTGCTTCTTTTGAAAGAATATGTATAAGATGTAAAATAAATTAACAAATTCGTAGAGTTTTCCTTACCTAAAATTTCAAAAAGAATTTATATAATAGGTTACATAAAGTTAGGAACCTCAGATCATTACTGAAAAGAAAAACTGTATCAGGAAAATTAAAACTTAGTTAATATTGTAGATTGCCAAATAAGAAGCAATTATAATACCAAAACAGCTTTTCACCTTGGAAGGAAACAGAATGATGCAAAAATTCAGTTTTCCAATTTCTTCTGGAAATCATGAAATGCACCCAGTCTTCTTATTTTCACTTAAAAATTGCTAGGTTTCTAGCAGTCTTTATGATTACAGAAAAGTCCTTTCTAAACTTTTCAAAAAGTGCTTGGTTTCTATGGAAAATATTATTGTTAAAACAACTGAAACATGCTTCATTTTGGAAACAAAGCTATAAGGCATGCTAAGAACTGTAACTCAGTTGTCTGTATTTTCTGTGGTCAGGCTTCACAGGAAACGTTGTTCAGCAGCGTGCAGAGTTTTACTGATGTACAGCTGCTCCTAAAAACATCATGAGAACACTCCAACTGATAGATTAACCTAAAAGAGGGATGTATTAGATGTCCTGATAGAACATTTATTAGCATTTTGAAACTGAAATATAATTGTGGAAAGAGCAACCCAAAGCATTTATTTGGGTCTGTTTATTGCCAAAACTAACTGCAACGAAGCAAGTTGTTGCAATATGTAAGGACAAACGGTCTTCCCAAGTTACTGTTAAAGGCTTATTTTAAAAAGTTGAAATCAATATATCATTTTAGCAAAAGGAGAGGGACTAACAACCTACTGAAGTGCATTCTGTATGACTTGAAGGAAAATAATTATTCAGATTCTATTCTATCAATTGAGATGATATACTCATTATAGATTATATTGGAAGTTATGATACGTACGTGGAGATGAAGGGAACCAGCAACTCAGCCTGTGATCTGCAAATTCCAACCATCCCTAATCTTTTAAGTGTTCTGTATTTAAGTCGCTTGTTCTTTCTCCCTCTTTCTCTTCACAAAAGCCTAGATGATTTACTAAGATGTGGGGTCACCTTTGCAGCTAATATGGTGGTGGTGGACAAAGAAAGTACAATGAGTGCTGAGGAAGACTACATGGCAGATGCCAAGACTATTGTAAACGTTCAAACGCTCTTTAGGTAAGGCATTTTTGCAGTCTACCTATACACCACCATTAATTGTGAAGTACTTAATGCCTTTTGTACTCTGATCAGAAATGATTTTTTTTTCTTTTAAGTTTTCCCCTTATATGAATTTGTGTCTTAGATGGGCAAACTTTTCCCACCTTGCTTAGCAATCCTGAGGTACACTCCTGAAATCTCAGATGAAATTCTATGCATCCCACAAATGAAAGATCATTTTAAAAGTCGTGTCAGGTTTGCAGGAAGGAGAAGAAAGGTACTCTTGAAGACTTAGGACCAAAAGTAGTTGAGAAAAGAAATTTTTCCTCAGTCCAACAGTCTTTCACAATAATGTTAAAGCCAGTATGAAAAGCAGATCCTTCTAACGCTAAAAAAGGAAAGCAATGCATCACTATGAAGTTAGTAGATGTGTTCACATTTTGAACATGTAGTTTTGAACAAAAATTAGGTTTGTAGGCACATGTATACAAATTACATATGACAACAACATACTAAGAGTCGTGAAGGAATAACTGAATACAGAGTCAAAAAGTGTTCAGTCTAGTAAAGAGGCTGAGAAGGCAGGGCTGTGATGAAGAGCTAAACACACTAAGATTTCTTGTTCATTTGAGAATCTCTCCTGATTAAAGCCTCACTTTGTGTTAAATATCTTGATTCAACAGATACCAAAAGATACATGTCCCTTTAAACTGTGAAAAAACAAATAAACAAGCAAAAAACCCCCACAAAACTCATTACACAGTCAAGTATGCCTCCCTGATTTGGGGCTTAAGTCTAGCATTTCCTGTTGTTCATTCTAATAATAAAATTAAGTCCTTCCCTAGAGAATTACATATCATTCAATATTGCTACCCTTTTCTGTGTCAAGCCTTCCACATAAGACTGGAGAGAGGTGCATAGTAAACAGTTTTTTCAATATGTCAGTGATTTTGGAAACTGAGCTCATTAAAACACAAGAATTTCAACAGAGATTTTTTAATGCAACCACGTGTGAGAATGCAGTTAATGCTGTTAGCATTTCTGCACGTGCTCAAAAGAAGCAAAAATCTACATTGCATGAGAAACTTGAGTTCTGTCTTTTGCAAACTTTGAGTTTTTGAATTTGTACCTGATACTAGCACAGGTGTTTGTGTTTCATAATCACACCTAAATTTAGAAACTATAATTCAACTTAATCTGTGCATCATTCAAGTCTACTCTTAACCATGTTGTGCTAGGGTATCTCACTGAGGTTTTGACATACATCATAAATTTTTCAGAACTACATTTTACCCCCAAATATAAAACAGCAAAAGAGTTGAATAAAAAATAAAACTTATAAACCACCAGTTGACTTTCGTAGTTGTGTTCGACTTTGTAAAGTACTAAAAAAAAAGCAACAAAACCCCATCATAGTAGTACACTACATACCATAGGTATCCAACTAGAACCTGCTATATAATCATTCAGTTGTCTTGCACAATGCTTACAACTAGATGGCAGCTTTAACTCATGTATCAACTATATATCTGGTTCAGTATAATTTTAAAACTGCATGGTACTTTTTACAAATATCAGAAGAAATCAGAATAAGTATCGTTAAGACTTCACTTTATCAGAAAACTTTGAAAACTTTCACAAGTAGTGTACTGCATAAGTTTTTTTCTAATTTTTTCGCTAGAACATGTACAATAATTTCACTGCATTTTTGTATTATTTAAAAGTTGTAGAAATACATAAGCTTTGGGAAGAGGCATAAGGTAGTGGCATTTACCTGTTCTACAGAATAAACCACACTCATGCACCAATGTAAACAGTTTTGTAAGTGAACTTCAAAAGTATGTTTAAAGGTTTTTTGTTACTTAATAATAGCTAATAATATCAGAAACTAATGAAGAGGCCGGATGTACAGCAGCACTTAACACAAACCGCAGTGTTAAAGGATTTTAAATCACTGCAGTTTTGCTAATATATGCTATTCTCAGAGAATAAGTACCACATTGGTGAAGAAGATTCCACTTAAGTCTCACCAAGTAAAATCATTCAGAAGATAGAGGCTAATCTAAACCTTGCTGTTTTGATTGACTCAGCTCAGCTGACGTCATTAAGGGTTGTGGACAGGCTTGAAAAGGTGATGTAAGTGTGCTGCAGTGCTGTAAGTGTGCTGCAGTGCTGTTTGGCCTAGATTGCCAGTTCTCATATACCTGTTCTGACATTATTCCTTGATTTACATAAATAAATAATCTTGCTTTGCCAGAAGAGTGCGTGTGTCCCCCACCTTATATGCATTGTTTATGACAGTGTTGTTAGCACCTTTAAGGCTGGAAACTGTTCCATACCAATTAAAACAGTGTCACAACACTAGCTTATCTGAATTAATCATAGTTAAAAGGAGTAAAGAAGAGTGACTCCAATGGCACACTGACTAAGAAAGGAAATCTTTAATCCTCTGGATGAGAAAGAACCAAGTTAACATAGTATGAAAGTACAAGGAGAAATGACTAGGTTTTGCACTGTGCTCTAGAGATGCTTTTAACTTTTTAATATGCAACATGAAGCCAAACACTGAGTCCCTATTGATGGTTATGAGTCCATCTCAGAAAAATAGTGTTTCCTCAGGCAGTAGGTCTATACTAGATATAATCTTTATATTTACTCTTGTTTTCTATTAATTAATGGGTTTAGATGTTGATGTTTGGGAAGCCCTGTTTTTAAGTTTTTATTAGCTAATATCTTGAAGGCTATGTTTCAAATACTGCAAGAAGCCTGTTGACAGCAGTACACCTAACAAGTCAATAGTTTGGCTGGTATCTAGCACCAATTCATAGATAAAGCAAACGAGGTGTTATGATGGCATTACATTGTTTTCTTGGTTTACCTTTTTGGTTCAGGAAAGAACTAAATGTATCTCTGGCTTGTCTGATTCCCAAATACCAGTTCAACAGCAACCCATGTCTTCCATCAGGCTGATTAGGGCTTTCCCTGCCCCATCCACTTCTTTTTTACCAGAATGGAATAAAAAAAGAGGGATCTTTGCACAGAAGTAGCCTGCTCCAGTGCTGAAAGCTTGCAGGCAGTGTGCCTTACACCCAGGGCAAGAGACAATCTGGCCCTGACTACCTTAAGTTGTTTCCCCTAATTCTGCTAGAAGGCACTAAAGTAAAATATAATTTTTACCAATACCAAGTTTGAAACCGATTTCCTAGTATAAATCAGTTTTCATACCTTGGTGATAAACTAAACCCATTTTTACTAGAAATCTAGTAACCTGCATTTTTTCCTGTAAGTCGTGTATATTTTATCATTAGATCAGCTTTTAATTTCCTATTTCTCTTGGTTCTGAATGTTATATTGTTTTCAAATATGAATGCCTGTCCTTTAATACTGCAATACAAGAAAACTTCCAGTCAGCAGAAGCTTAAGTAATTCTGTGCTACATGATACAGAATTAATGCAGAGGAAATTTATTCTCCTTCCTCAGAACTTTAACATATTTGTTAAGATACTTTATAAGTACAAGTACATACCTACAAGGGTGATATTATCAGGATTTTTTTTCAATTTTCATAAGCACTTCACAGGTTTTTATAACACACAGCATACAAGTAAGGATGTACCACAGTTGCATCTCAAGGGTGCAGTTATGTATTTATGTACGAAGACTCCACTCCCTAAGTGCTTAATCTTTAGTAGGACATAAATAGACTTTTATAACAATACTGCATCACTCAGAGTTTGTATCAAAGCCTGGCTGTAAGACCTGAAAAGGTACTGAAATTCCTGAGCATGCACAATGCCTTTCAAACTGCAGTGCACACACTCACTGTGAAGTGATTCACATTCTCACCCTGTTTGCCACGTCCATTTTTCCTTATTCAATCACATTTAATGTTTGGTTAATCACACAGACATGGTAACTGCTAACATAAGAATGGCTAGCATTTCTACTATCATATTATCTTATGTTCAGAACACATTTGGGATCATGTGATCATTACCAGTCTATGTTTTAGCATCAACAGACCTAGAAAAATGTATTGCAATAAGATGGCATTAACGCATACTGGCAGATAGTTTTGACATACATTTCCCCACATTTAGTTGCTGCTTGAATTGCCATTTCAGTGA